GGGAAAGGAGTTTGTAAGCCGCTCTGAGACTCCCTTGGGTAGTGAAGGGTGGGGTATACATCCAATCTCCTCTTCTTCTTCTTCTGCCCTGGAGTGGATTCTGCAAAGACGTACCCATTTCTGCAAAATGCCAGCATCTGGTCCCTCTCTTTGCAGGACTCCCATGTTCATCTACGACCTGAACTCGGCTGTCGGCGACGTCGCTTGGGCTCCTTATTCCTCTACGGTCTTTGCCGCTGTAACCACCGATGGGAAGGTAAGACGGCAGAGATGGCACCTGCTGGCCAAAAGTGGTCGAGGGAAGGCTGTGGGGGGTCTCAGAGCAGGGGCCCCTGCCCCCCAACAACTGTTATTGGCCCTTCTTCCTGGTTCTGGCATCGTGTGTTTACTGGTGTTTGGAATCATTTTATATGTTGTTTTAAATGGTGTTTTAATGGTTTTTTGTTTGCCACCCTGGGGACCAGATTTGGGTGGGGAAGCAGCACAGAAGTGTGCCATTTCATGGAGTGCCCGCAAGTTCTTGTATTGTGAGAAAGGGAGAAAAGTACCTCTTTCTCTACCTGCTCTGCCCTGAAAGGGAATATCCTGCCGATGCCCGCTAGGAGCTGGGAAAGACCTGGTGTTTTGGGGGTGGAGACTGGGCAGGGCAGGATGTGGGAGAGGGGAGGGGAGTTCAGTGCCGTATAAAGCCGCAGAGTCCACCCTCCAAGGCAGCCATTCCGCCCCCCCTCCCAGGGAACTGATCTTGGCAACCTGGAGATCAATTGTAATTGTGGGAGATCTCCAGGTGCCATCTGGAGGTTGGGAACCCTGGGGCACTTTTTCTTGGAAACGTTCCGGGGGGGGGGGGATGGCAGAAACTCCTTGTTCAGTGTTGAAGTAACGCTGGGAGGAAAACACAGCCCTGTTACTCCACTGGAAATGTAGGTGTGAACAAGACTTGAGGAGAGGGAAATACCATTCATTAGAAAACACCCCCCCCCATTGATTGCAAAATCAGCTCTAAGTGATTGTGAGGATTTTTGCAACAAACCCTTTATGTCTCGTCTTTATGGCCATTCCTGTTCACACCTGTTGACTTAGAATCATAGGAAGGGACCTCCAGGGCCAACTGTAATGATTTCATGTTTTGGTGTGTGTGTTTCTTTAAAAGTTTAGTTTGACTGCAGTAATGTAATAAGAGTGATAAAGGGAGACAAGTGTGATGTGACTGGCTGGTGACTGAGAGTGTGGGAGGAGGGGTGTCTATGAGAGGGATTCTGAGTGTGAAGTTTGAAGAGAGAGCATAGTCTGTGTGACTATGGGCTTTGAGTCTATTGTGTGTGAATAAGACAAAGAGTTCAGCCTGTGTGGCTATATATATATGAGAGAGAGAGAGAGATTAGACTGAGTGTTAGAGTGGACTTTTGGGAGTTTAAGAGACTTTGTGACACCAAGCTTTGCAGTTATATTTACAAGTTCCTTTCATCAGCAACAGTTCAAAATAACCAGAAACCTATTTTGTTCTTTATTTAATAAATCGTTTTTTGTTTAAACTAATCCCAGAAATCAGAATAGTCCTTCCTCAGGGCCGCATAGTCCTCTGAAGCGCCCAGACCCTGGGTCATTCTACCAAAAGAGAGAGAGAGATTTGGATTTTTTAATTCCTGGTGGCAGCAGAAATCTACCACCTTTAGGTACACAGAGAGTGTTTTAAAGGTAAAACCGTCTCCCCCAAAAGCAGGATGCCACACCAACCCCTTGAACAATGCAGGAAATCCACAAATACCTCCCCCTCCAACACCCGCAGTGACCGCTTAAGCCAGGGTTCCCAAACCTCTTGAGCCTGCGGGCACTTTTGGAATTCTGACACTGAGTGGAGGGGGGGCGCAGTCACAAGATGGCTGCCGCAGCTGACCTTCAGTCACCCAGTAAAGATCCCTGTGCTGTGTTGGCAGCTGCTGCCGAAGCAATACTTTTAATACTGGGGAAGCGGTGGCACAGAGGATTTATCCTCTGGTTAGTAACATCTGAGCTGAATAGTACGGCTGTCAGTTCTTGCCCCGTACTGGTGTGAGCTACCAGCCTTGTCCCTAGCTCGCCGTCCACCCAGCAGTTCGAAAGCTTCGGCGAGTAGATAAAATGGGTACCACCCCCTAGAGAGGGTGGGCACACCAAACACCCCCCCGGTGGGGGAGGTGTTAGCCGGTGACCGGAACGCTCAGCTCGCGAGATTGTAAGCCTAAGAAAAAAATCTCTTCAACTCCGAAGCCTGTAATGGGTCATGGAAGTGCGGCGCTGCAAGACCTGGAGAAGCTGACGTCATCTAGCCAAGCCGAACACGTCTGACCCTGCAGCTGAACAAACCCTTGCCGACTGTGAATGTGTGTGATTAAAAATGATATATGTTGTCCTCCCTTACCCCCATAAATCATTGTTAGTCCCGCGTTGAATGAGTAACTGTAAATCGCTCAACGCCAGCAAGCTCTGCAGGATTGAGCAATTAATAAATTGAAAGATTATTATTTAAAAAGCTGTCCAGCCCATCAAGCCTCCAGTGGCCAATCAGAGGCCCTGCTGGGCAAAAGCCCCACCTGCTCCTGGCTACTTTCTGAAAGCATTTGTTGGGCGTCTGGAAAGGTGTCAGACTCAGCAGGTGTCACGGCACCCGCGAGCACCATGTCGGGGAGCCCTGCACTGAACCATAGGGAACAGTGGGGCTGAAATGACTGTGTGTGTACAGAAACTTCTGCGCGCTTTCTGGAAGAGTGACGCCTGCCCAGAAGTGTGCTTCTCTCTTTCCCCAGGGGCCACTCTCTGGCTGGCACTCACCTCGCTGACAAGGCTGTGCTTTTAGCACTTCAAGGCCTGCGACTGACTCAGAGGGAAGCTGCAGCGTCCCAGTCACTCCTGCCCCTCTGTCTCAGATGCAGATTTTGCAGCTATTCCAAGACAAGCAGTGGCAAGCCACCTCTGAACATCTCTTGCTTTCAACGTTATGGCAGCTGCCATGTCAGCTGTGACTTGATGGGGCAAAAAAACGCTATGGGCAAATTGTGCTTAGATGGTAGAAATGTGAATTGCCATGAGGCATTCATTCATCCAGTTTTAACTGAGATTCCAGGACACCTGTTAGCAACCCATTGCTAACCTGGAAAATTAGCGGTGGCCAGTGTTCCCTCTAAGCTGAGTTAGTGTGAGCTAGCTCACAGTCTTTTAGCCTCTGGCTCACACATTTTTGCCTTAACTCAGGAAGGATGGCTCCAGAGCAAACTAATTTATGCAGTAGCCAAATCGCTTGCTCACAACTTTAATGCCAGTAGGTCACAAAGTAGGATTTTTGCTCACGAGACTCCATGGCTTAGAGGGAACATTGGCGGTTGCTGAACATAACCTAACTCAAACAAGGCACAGTATCTTATTCCAAGACACTGAAAGGCTGGACAACACATCCAATTACCATGTCAGATTACACAGGGAAGCCATTGAAATTTGTAAACATAAACACAATTTTGACAGGAAGGGAGTTTAAAGATAAATAGGACATGGTTTCCAGTCCTGAAAAACACAAAGTGCTTTATATCTTACAGCAGCACTACAGATAAGATTAGAATTTCAACAGCCAATCCATATGCAAAAGAACCTCCTCAGGAAAGCTCCTCCATTAGCATGTTCATAGCCTGGGAAACTCCTACAAGATAATGACTCAGCCCTACCCCACCTTCCTGAGTAGATATAAATTACCTGCCTATCATTTTTCTTCTCACATTGACACACAGAGTACATCTTTCTGTGTTGTACCTCTGAGGATGCCAGTCACAGTTACTGCTGAAATGTCAAAGTTCTACAATGCCAAGACCACGGCCACACAGCCTGGAAAATCTACAACAACCAATGAACCCCGGCCGTGGAAGCCTTCGACAACATAACTCGTTGCCTTCCCATATTCCCCCCTTTATCCTCTGATCTATTTCAGTTCTGATTTGTGGTGATTTTTTAAAATGTACTATGGTAGCATGGAGTTGTCCAGAGCAGAGAGTCAAAATATGATTGACATTTCTTTGGACTAGTCTCCCTTTAGAATTTTCCGCATTACCTTTGGCTCCAACATACCGTGTTTCCTCTTGACCTCTCCCAATGGCTGGCTATGCCATTTATGAACAAATTATTAGTTTGTTCATTTCTGGGTAGAAATAAATACTTTTTTTCACTGTGCAGGCAAATCCACTCATTAGTGCATATAATCATTACAGCACTCTTAGGTAATTAGAGTAATAAGCATGAGCAGTGCCTTTGGCTACAAAGTGAACACGGTACTTCGTTCCTTCCCTTGCAAAACAAGAACTGATGGTTAACAATTCATTCATGAACGCTGTCTGGCAGACTGCAAGAATATACAGGGCTGTAACACAAAGGACCCAAAAAATTGCAGGGCAAAGAGGAAGCTTTGCTGAATGAGACTTACTTCCGAGTAAACATACAATAGGCTCATGTGCATGAGGGCTGGCACTGCTGGATTCCTTTATGGAGAACATGATGCTATATTAGATGCTGTGAGGAACCCTCATTCCTGTTGCACTTGCCGCTAATTGCAGAAAGAGGGATCCCTTGGTGACGCAATATTAATCTTCTGTGGATAGCCCTCATTTATTTTTTTTAATTTTAAATATCTTTATT